CCCCGCGCGCGCGGCCAAGCGCTTCGTGTCCCGGGCTCGGTACGTGGAGACGCTGCTGGTGGCTGATGCCTCCATGGTGCGGTTCTACGGGGAGGACGTGGAGGTAAGGGCTGCAGTGTCCTCTGTCCCCTCTGCCCCTTCATCCTTCCTGTCCCCATCCCGCCTGCTTCTCTCTCTTCCCGTCTCCACCCTCCGTTCCCGCTGTCCCTCTGTCCTCCCCATCCTCTCGTCCCCTCTGTTCCCGCTGCCTCTCCCTTCTCTCCATCCCTCCACGCTCTGTCCCTCCTGCCTCCCTCTGTGCCCCCATCCCCTGCCGCTGCCGCCTCCCCCAGGGACAAACAGCCCCGGGATGCTAAGGAGCAGCCTGGGGGAGGGAGCAGAGGGGACAGGAACGGGGACCTTGGCTCTGCCCCCACCTCTCTGTGCCGTGTAGGGGCTGCAAGTCCCCGGGGCAAAGGCTGTGAGGCTGATCTGTGGTGCTGAGGCAGTGCCTGGGGACCCCTCCCCAGACCCAGCATCCACCCCGGGCAGCCTGTGTCTGGGGTCCCGGTGGTCCCGTCAGTCTAGTGTCCCCATGGATGAGGGACAGAGTGGGTTAATGCCTTTCTAGCTCGAGGGAAGGAGCCGTGCTGCAGAGCGATGGGCTGAACTCCCTTCCGGATGGGAGCTGGGGCCAGATAGTAAATAAACCAGAGGCTGAGCCACCTGTTAGCAGCCCAGCAGATCCACCAACCTTTTCCCCCCGAAACTCTCCCCCTCCTTCAACGTGCTCTGGCTGTGGAGCCCCTGCCCGTGGCCAAGGCTTTGTGGAGACCCCGGGAGTGGAGACCCTGGGCCCCCCGACCCCCCACATCCCCCCCAGGGCTGCTGACCAGCCGCTTCCATCAGCCCCGGGGGATTTTTGGTGTCGAAAGCAAAGCCAGGCTGGGCTCCCTGCTGGGACAGGTTGTTTGGGTCCTGGGGTCTGAGTTCAGGTTCTGCTGGTGTGAGACGCACTCGGGTCTTTGCAAGGGGTAACTGTGCAATGAAGCTGCTCGTCCTCTGCGGTGGGTGGGCTGGGGAGGGGGCTGAGAGCGGAGCCCCTGGCGCTGGAGCTCAGCGGGGAGCTGAGAACCAGGGGCTGTGCTTGGGCTTTGCCTCTTCTGCCGACTTTGTCCCTCCCCTGGGGGCTTCATCCGGCTTCTCCTCTCCTAACAAAGCGGTGTGTAAACCCCAGAGCCAGAGAAATGCCAAACCTTGGGGCTCCAGCTGATTTCAGCTGCTGGGCATCACTCAGGCTTCAGCCTTTTCCTGGTTTTCACTTCCCTGCCACCAAGCCAGGCTGGCAGGAACAGACAGCAGGGGGTGAAGGAGCAGTGGATGCTGCCCTTGGAGACAAACCCCTCCCCGAGCTCAGTTTGCAAAGGTGTAAACTCAATTTTTAAGCACCAGGCTAATAAACAGAGGTGGAAATGACAGGAAAACTAGCTTATTACTGCACCTTCTGCAGCCTGGTGGGCACCTAATGGTTTTAAAGCAGCACCCGAGGGTCTGTCTCCTGCTGCAAATAAGGTGATGTATTTTGGGGGTAAATCCTGATAACGCCCAGCTTGATAAATAAATAACTGCTGGTAACTCGGTGCCGTGGTAGCTCTCAGATGGGTGATGAGCTGCACGTAGACACAACCAAGGGGCTGAAAGGCTGGTTGTCTGCCCTGGTATCTCTGGTACAGCCCTGGGCATGGGTGATGCTGCCTGGCAGGTCCCTGGCAGCTCCCTCCGTGGTTATCACGGAGTTCCCAGTCTCCTTGGCTCCCATTTCACCATCATTTCTCTGTCCCCAAGAGCAGTATCTTTGTATCACCTCTTCAGGGTGCTTCCTGATGGGAAGGAAAGCCCTTAAAGATCTCATTTTGGATGAGCAGAGCACTAGAGTATTTAAGTATTTGGGAGACAACTTTAATCAGCTCTTGTGTAGGAAAAAAAAAAAAAAAAAAAAGCCACCTGCTGTGTTTCTGTGTCTTTTGTTCCCAGCAACAGGGAGAAACAGGGGTTGCTGCTAACTCAGGACACCAGAGAGCTGCCTTGCTTCTCCCTAAATACCTACATTTGGAGGGCCAAAAAAAAGTGATGGCTTGTTCATGCTGATGAGATCTTAGGGAACTGACTGGGAGGTGCCCGGGGAGCAGAAATGTTGAGTCAGAAGAAACCATCTTCTTATAGTGACTTTTATTCTCATAAACATGCTTTAATTACCAAATATTTATTAAAGGTCACACACATTGTTTGTGTTCCCAGTTATTGCCTTGTATAAGCTGCAACAGCTCAAGTGGAAGATAGTTACCCTAAGATGTTCTCAAGCATTGCAAATTTTAATCAGTGCCATGCTGTTATTAGGGAAACACTATTAATGATTTATTTCTAATCAATCTAAGCCATTATAGCTCAGCTGTTAACCTCGTTCAGATAACAAGAGTTTATTTCCACCTCCATCAATACTCCTGGGACCAGAAGGAAATGATGAAGTGAGGGCAGAGCTTGACCTGAAATTTGGGGGTTTAATCATTCTGCTGGTTTGGTGGGGAATTTTTGGGGGGTGAGGGGTGGAATTAGCAGCAGGATGGTGCTGAGCAAAAACACCTGTGAGGGGCTGGCAGGTCCTGGAGGACTGGGCAGGATGAGAACTGCATAATTAGGAAGATTAACCCTTAAACAGGAGTGGGTGCAAGACCCCGGGCTGGAGGCACGAATGATCCTTTACACTTTTCCTGCAGAAGAGCTAAAAAGTTTGCAGGGGTAAAAAAAATTAAGCATCACTAACAGAATCAAGTGGGGGCTTTTGAGCTGAGGAAACTGCTAAGGAGCTAATTCCTTTGATGAGCAGAAGAGAAGGTGTCCGTGCCGAGCAGGCTGTGCTTGCAGGACGCTCCGCAGGTCCCGGGGAGGTTTTCCCGCAGCATTCCCGGCCAGTTGGCAGCAGAGCTGGATTCCTGCGGTGGGATTTCTCCACTCCTTCGGGTGCAGATGAGACGCGGTTCCAAGCTCCCCTCTGCACACACCGTGGCCACCATCTCCATTTCCCCACCCCTCTCCTCTTCAAAGCCACCAAACTGCTCTTCCCAGCCTCCCAGAGCTGGTGACCACCGAGGACCAGGGACAAAACCAGGTCGGGTTTGGCTGAGCCAGGGATTCCTTGCCCGGCTTCTGTGGGTTTTCCAGGCAGATGGATGGGTTTTTAGGAGTCTCTTCCCTCTAGGGATTCCTTGCTCGACTTCTGTGGTTTTTCCAGGCAGATGGATGAGTTTTTAGGAGTCTCTTCCCTCTCAAACCAGCCGGGTGCTGCAGGGGGAGGCGGGGGGCAGGGCTGGGGTCCCGCACCGAGTGACCCCAGAGCCCCCCCGGGGCGGCAGGTCCCCCCGTGCCCGGCTCCTGGGCTCGCTTAAGGGGGTTTTCCAATCTGAGCGGCTCAATTCCCTTAATCCCTCGACAAAAGCAGCCGGCTCCTCCCCAGCCCATCCCTAAGGCATCCGGGCTGGGATTCAAGGGGAGTTTTGCAAAGCAAAGGGGAGCTGGGCTGGTCCTCCCACCCGCCAGCCTCTCTGCTGCGCTTCCCCTGGGATGGGTGACCCCAGGGGATGGGTGGCCGGGGCAGGGGGCCTCCTCC